ACAAAGAGGTAGATCAGGGGCAGAGCCAGCAAGATTCAAACACAGCCCTGGCCAATCAGCATCTCCTCATAGAGATAAATTGAATCAAATAAATCTCTGTGAGGAAAGTTCAGTGTCTGCATGCAGAGGGAGGAGATACAGAATGTTTGGATGCATTTTAGGCAGCCATGACCCAGGAAGGATCTCTAACAGCCATCTGAGGAGTGGCCAGTGAAGTTAGCACTAGGCTGTAATGTAAACACTGCATTTTCTCTGAAAAGACAGTCTTTACAGCAAAAAGCCTGAAGGTAATGATTCTACTCACCAGAACAAATTCAATAAGCTGTAGTTGTTCTGGCGACTATAGTGTCCTTTTAACCAGGAAAAGAATATGATGGTAAGTATTTGAAAACTTTTCTGTTTTGTTTCACTTGTATTTTGTGCTAATTTCATCTAAATGTTTTAAAATGCATTATGTGTGGTAAACATTAAATCTGAATTGTCACATTTATTTTTTTTGTTCCTACAAACAAAGCTCTAGCTCCCTAAAATTACTTTTTCATACGGGTAGTTTCTTTCAATAAAACCATGTTGCCTGCACTTTAATTTAATTGAAATTCCAATGCTTTTAGAAGATGTACATGTCGATGTAGTAGAAACTGCTTTGTCATATATAAGCAAATTTTTAGCATACTATCGCAAATAATGCAGATTTAAGCAGCTTTAAAAGTCACATTTCGTCATTTCCAATCAGCCCTTGCTTAAAGGACCACTATAGTGCCAGGAAAACATACTCGTTTTCCTGGCACTATAGTGCCCTGAGGATGCCCCCACCCTCAGGGTCCCCCTCCCGCCCAGCTCTGGAAGGGGGAAAGGGGTTAAAACTTACCTTTTTCCAGCGCTGGGCGGGGAGCTCTCCTCCTCCGATCCTCCTCCGTTCCTCCCCGTCGGCTGAATGCGCACGCGCGGCAAGAGCTGCGCGCACATTCAGCCAGTCGCATGGGAAAGAATTCATAATGCTTTCCTATGGACGCTGGCGTGCTCTCACTGTGAAAATCACAGTGAGAAGCACGCAAGCGCCTCTAGCGGCTGTCAATGAGACAGCCACTAGAGGCTTTGGGGGAAGGCTTAACCCATTCATAAACATAGCAGTTTCTCTGAAACTGCTATGTTTATAAAAGAATGGGTTAATCCTAGAGGGACCTGGCACCCAGACCACTTCATTAAGCTGAAGTGGTCTGGCTGCCTAGAGTGGTTCTTTAAGTTTTTTAATTTTCTACACACTGCATATTTAGGTCACTTTGCGTTTGTTATTGATGCATCCTCATATTTATGCACTTTTTATTTCATTTTGGGCACCACAATGACTTTGTCAGTGAAGTCAGATGTTCTCAGCTGACATTCTCAGCCTAATACCAATGCTCTAGGGAACGGCTCATGCACTGAAGCTGGGGCTGTAGGAGGTTGGGTGCCATCAACAACACGTTGGGGTTAACTGTTCGAGCATGGTTTAACACCATAAATCAGGTGTAGGTGACTTTTGGCACTACAGATGTTGTGGACTACATATCCCTTGATGCTTGGCCAGCATTAAGGCTGTAAGAGCATTGTGAGACATATAGTCTACAACTTCTGGAGTGCCGACGTTTGCCTAATCCTGCTATAAGGTATGACGAGGACAGGCAACCTTCGGCACTCCAGATGTTCTGGACTACACTTCCCATGATGCTTTGCCAGCATTGTGGCAGAACCAGTCTCGCCACTGGGCATTGGAGAAGACTGATTGCCAGCCTCCTGCCCTGTGACTATGGCCCCATGTTGAAATGCTGTATTTTACCCTGCAAAGACCCGAAAGCCAGGTCATTCGGTACTTTCCCTATGTGAGCAGTGTTACACCAGATAGCTATGCCATGGAGCCCCGTTCATATAACGAAAGACTATGTGAAAGACTTTGGCTCCATGGCAATTGAACTATATGTATGTGATCTGAGTGCCATTCAGTAATCTGCGCTCAGATCTAAGCTATCTGGGGAATAATGTTAAATGTACCCGTTTTATGCAATCGCTGCACAGTTATATATTTTTATGTATTTTATTGTATTTTGCTACCATGTGGCTAATGGAGTTTTGCCTCTGTCATTGGAGATAATTGGATTACTTCCCAATTATCTCCAGGATAGAAGACTCTGTGGAAATGGTTTTGGGCAGAAAAACCATGCTTCATTTTGTCAAATAGGACTTTCCCTTAACTTTTTAACCCCTGAACCGATTGACCTGATTTTTGAGTATGTGTATATTTCAAGCATGCAGATTCTGAAAATGTATGTTTTATGTGAATTGCATGTATATTTTGGAAGTTATTAATATTTTGTAAAAACTGTAACAGGCAGAGGGGAGGATTTTGTGTGGGAGTGTCTGTGTGTATTGTACGGATTGATTGGTTGTATTTCAAAACCCTGTGGGCAGTACTATGTTTGTGGATTGTGAATAAAAGAGGCTATATGTGCCAGTACAGTCAGCTCTGCTTGAAAAACGTTACCTGCGCTTACCTTTCTTTGTTTTTACTATGTATTTTAAGCTGTTGGATACTAAGCCACTGCTGCTGTAAGCGCGGTGCTTTATCTTTGTGTTTGTATATGAATTTTGTATCACTCAGCTATGTTACATTGCTGCCAGCCTTCCCACGTTTGTCTTATTAAGACTTTATAAGTATGTAGGGGCAGCACCCCTTCCTGTCTCATCAGAGAAATTTGCCTTTTAGCTGATACCAGCAAGGTGATTTGTATGTTATAGCCCTATTCAGGGTAAAGTATGTAGGGGTTTATAAAACACACTTTCATGTCTCATTAGAGACGTCTATACTTTGTCTGATACCAGCAAAGTTTATTGAATGTGTAGAAGCCCTATAAAGGGTTAAATGTTAAAGGGTTTATAAAACACCCCTTTCTGTCTCACTTTGTCTGATATCAGCAAAGTTTATTGTATGTGCAGAAGCCCTATAAAGGGTTAAATGTTAAAGGGTTTATAAAATACCCCTTCCTGTCTTATTGGAGACTCTTGGCTGATATCAGCGTATCTAATGGCTAGTGTAGGAACTCATCTATTGAGACTTGCCTTGACGTGGCTGGTGAGCTTATATATTCAAATGGCCATTTAGAATAGAACTAAAGAGCCTAAATTTTTGTTCAAATGCACATGGGGATCTAGGCCAGAGCGCAGGTAACGTTCTCTTTGTTTTTACTATGTATTTTAAGCTGTTGGATACTAAGCCACTGCTGCTGTAAGCGCGGTGCTTTATCTTTGCTATATGGGACAAGACTTGTGCCCATGTATCTTCCAAGGACACAGGAAAGGGAATGTTCCTCCATCTTTATTTAAAGATCCTTTATTAATGCCTTCTCACAGCAATGTCTCAACTGATAATGGTTTTGTTAAAGTGAAACTATAGGGCCAGGGGGGAAAAAAAGTGTTTTTCCTGGCACTATAGTGCCCTCTAGTGCCCCCCATCCCACTCCATGGTTTAAAATCCCTTCTGTCACTTACCTCAGTTCAGCGCCAGTGTCCCTCAGAACTGGTTGGGCTTCACCTCCACTCTTTCCCCGCCGATGTCAGCCTGCGGCACTGACCTAATGTGCATGCGAGGCAATGGCCGCACTCGCGTTAGGGATTTCCCCATAGAAAAACATTTGTACAGTGCTTTCCTATGGATTTTTGGGGATTTTAGCGTGAGAACGTTCAGCGTCTGTTAGGCGACCAAAAGTCTACCAGTCAGCCACTAGAGGTGGAGTAAACCCTGAATAGTAATTATTGCAGTTTCTCAATAACTGCAATAATTACTATTGCAGGGTTAAGGGGCATGGAATATGCATCCAGACCACGTCAATGAGCTTAAGTGGTATAGGTGCCTATAATGTCCCTTTAAGCTTCCAATCTCTTTGTGAATTTTATGTGATTTTACTTTTTGTGTTAAATTTACTTAACAAAAAATAAAAATATTTGTTTACTTCTAAAGCTCAGGAAAAAAAACACATACATTTATGGAGCACAGCCTAACAGAATTTTTCATTAAATGAAAACAACAGGCTGTCGTCTGCCAAATATCATTATTCACAGAGATAAAACCAGAATTTGCCTTCACACATGCCACACAAAATATGGGATTTTTGCAGCTTTCTTTTTGCTATTAGCATAAAAAAAGCTTTTAGCGCCACCTTCTGACTTAGGAGTTAAAAAACTAAAAGCAGTCAACAGTTGTTCACCATAAATATTGCCATCATGTGTTGATTGCCATGCCATCAAAAAGAAACATGCAGCTAAAATGTTTTAATACATTTATCTTGGATTGTTGGATCTGTCAAATACACAGAAGTTATATTTTGCATGCCAGAGTACCTTAGCCTATTGGAGATGCTAATCAGATCTTGACACATTACTACATAATTGGTTGGAAGGTGGCAAACACCTAGTGTTAGGTTGAAAAATCATTCAGATTCAATACATGTGGAATGTTTTTTCACTTGCAACTAAACAAGTTCAGTTGGAAAGTGGCTACAATTCACATAACATCTATAGGTGCTATCTTAAAGAGACATCTTTTATTGCCAAACACCGTATTATTATATACAGAAAGATGCACAACTTAGTTAATAATCCAAATCTCTTTATTATACAAAGTGAATCAATCACAAATACAAAACAAACACTGTTACAAGACTATAACAACCAGGCTATGAAATATGCTCTAAATCAAACAGGCATAAAAGCTCACTTGCATATTACCTCAAAGGGCTGGACACGTGTACAGAACAAAACCCCAAGGTTTCGGCACAAACGTAATATGCAAGTGAGCTTTTATGCCTGTTTGATTTAGAGCATGTTTTATAGCCTGGTTGTTATAGTCTTGTACTGTAAGCTCATTTTAGCAGGGCCCTCATCTACCTATTGTTCCTGTGTCACTGCGTGATTGTCTCATTTATTGTAAATATACCCGTTTCATAATATTGTAAAGCGCTGCGGGACTAGTTGGCGCTATATAAATACCAATGATAATAATAATAATAACAGTGTTTGTTTTGTATTTTTGTTTGATTTATCTAAAAATATTAAATGAAGGCCATAGTCACACTAAAATACACACTCATTCATATGCTGCACACCTACATCCGCCGCACATGCACTCTTATGTTAAACTTCTGAGAAATACACACCTATGGGAAATAGATTTATTTGAAAGTTTTTAGGTAGTTAACAAGACCTTGGACATGTTGTGCCTACAGGTGCCCGAGATGTAAACCTGGCTCAGGACATGACTTTATTAACAGGGGAATTTTCCAAGACAATCAGGATACTTTGAAGATTCAGATAATTAGAGAATTTTTCACTCAGATATGCGTAAATTAGCTCATGTGCAACGTGTGAAACTGAAAACTCTGCAAATTTCGACTTTCCAATGTGATATCCATTCATACCAAATGTAAAAGCAAATAATATCCTAAAGAATAGTGACAAAGTTGACTGCATAAATTATAAAGTAGAGATTTGCATTGGGGGAAATTTTGTTTTGGATCAATTTTGTGTTGTCTGAAATTCTTCAAATATTGATTCGGATTAATCGAATTTCAATTCAGGAATTTGTTAATTTGTGGAATTTCGGGAAGGCCATTATTCCATGTGGACAATAAAGGAAGGTGATAGTCATAGAGTTACCAAGGAATGTACCAATATGGAGTTATAATCTAAACTGCTGAAATATCAAAAGAAAAGCCCTTTTCTTAATTTTGATCTTTTAACAGTTTAGTAAGTAACTTCTTAATTTTCTATCCCAGTGTGGGGTTGCCTTAAGGATACTAATTATCAAATAAGGGAGCTATCTGCTCCTTAATTTGGTATCCTTAAAAAGGGCAGTCCTACATAAGGATATCAAATTAGGGAGTAATCCGCTAAAACAGTTGAAATATCAAAATGAAGGAATGAGCTTTTCTCAAGTTTGATCTTTCAGCTGATAAGTAGATAGCTAGCTAATTTTCTATCCTTATGTGGTATTGCCATAAGGATACTAATTACCATACAAAGGGAACTATGTGCTTAGCAGCTCCCTAATTTGGTATCCTTAAATAAAGCAGTCCCACATAATTATACCAACAGGGAGTTATCTGCTAAACAGTTGAAAGATCAAAGTTAAGCAAATCCCTCAAAGATTAAAATTAGGGAAAGAGCTTTTTGTGGCAAACCTAGCCACTTGGGACTGCCTAAGATAGAATGGTTGTGCCTATTTTCTGTTGTGTACTGCGCGCCGGTATAGTGTGGCGTCTCCGGCTATGTTTAATTTATGCTGTACTGTGTATGTCTGTTCGAATCCTCCCCATTCGTTAGCATTGCTATTAAAACTGACTAAGTTGTATATTTTGAAGTAGAAAGGTAACGGTTTATGTCCTCGTGGTTTTCATTACTGTATGTTACAGCAGGGGCTGTTGGGAGGAGGACCTGGAAACGGTAGTCTCCCTCCAGTCCCCTCAACCAAAACCCCTGCTGCCCATCTTTGGAAACCCCTGTTGAGTGACCTGCTTTAAATATCAGTTATTTTTAATAAAGTGACAGTTGAGTGACCTGCTTTAAATATCAGTCTTTTTGAATAAAGTGGCAGTTGACTCTCAGACTGTGTTTCGTCTGGTTCTTGGGAGGATTTGGGAATATTGCCTGCTTCCAGCTTTGTACTTGGTTATTGCATTCTACCAGCAGAGATCCTGGGATTATAAAATTGCAGCTCCGCAACAATTGGTGGCAAGCGGCGGGATCCAACCGTACAGCAGGAAAAACGCTGTTTATACAATTGGAATTGACATACTGGAAAGCAGAAGGCAATTGATACAGATGCAGAAGTGAATGGGGACGGACTACACCATATTGAAACGGCAAACGTTAAAGGAGCTGTTGGAAGCCAGGGGTTAAGATAGCCAGCAATAAGCCTAAAGCAAGACTTATTGCCGAGCTAATGGAAGGAGACCGAGCTCGTAGTGCTACACCCCCAGCAAACATGGAGGAGACCCCATTTGAACGAGAAATGAGGACAAGATTGGCATTTTGGCCCGCTCCAGTATCTCCAGAAATTATGACCATAATTTCGGCGGATGCACAGGAGTACGTGATGGCGCAAATGAATCAAGCCTTCTCACCTCAAGCAGAAACCGCTGCTGTTTCAACTGTGGGCCAGGGAAGGCCAAAAATACCACATCATGCATTTAAAACTTTTTGCGAGGATAAAGACGAAATAGATGGATTCTTGCAAGATTTTGAAAGATTGTGTGACTTGCATGATGTAGAGCAAGCTATGTGGGTACCTTTGTTGGCAGGCAAACTGTCTGGGCGTGCAGCAGACGCCTACCGGGCTGTACCCAGAGAGGACAGCAAGAATTATGACAAGGTAAAGCAGGCGCTATTAGAAAGGTATGCCATTACCCCAGAGGCATACCGGCGCAAGTTCCGAGAATTGAAAAAAGGGGACAAAGACTCACATGCGGAGTGGGCACACAAGCTTGACCAAGCCTCACAAGGCTGGATACAAGCCAGCAGAGCTACCACCATGGAAGAGTTACGCCAGATGTTGCTACTGGAGCAGTTTTGTAATGGCCTGGCACCAGAGGCTCAAGAATGGGTGAATGACCGAAATCCTCACACCCTAACCGAAGCGGCACGATTGGCCGACCAACATTATGATGCTAGGAGGCATCATAAAAATAATAACCGAGGGTATGCAAAACCCAACCCGCAACCGTTTCCAGTTATTGCTCCTGCCCCAGCGACAGCACCATCCAGACCAGCACTTGTGGGACAACCTCCCCACTCCCGTTATAATGGCAGGTCCAACATCCAGTGCCATGTCTGTAAGCAATGGGGGCACATGGCCCGGGAGTGCGCCCAAAACCGGAGCCGCAAGAACTGGAATTAGCTCCAGCAGAATATGGCCCCGCGGGCAGCTGCTCATTATTATCATGCATAGCCAACTTTGCCAGGAGTGCCGCTTGAGTCGGCTGATGAACCCCTGGGCGTTTTGCACGATGTAATGTCCATCCATGCTACTGACAACCGACAACCACATTGCCAGACCGTGACTCTGGAAGGGAAAGAGGTACAGGGGCTACGTGATTCCGGCGCTACCTTAACTTTGGTTGCCCCGCATTTGGTGTCAGGATCAGCACATACCGGGGGATCGGTAGCAGTCCGGGTAGCAGGGGGTGCCATGTACCGGCTACCAACTGCCAAGGTACATCTGAATTGGGGTGCGGGGGAAGGTATGGTGGAGGTGGGGCTGATGCACAAGTTACCAGCTGATGTTGTTTTGGGGAATGACCTGGGGCAAATGACTTCCGCTTTTGTGCCCCAAAGTCCTCGCCATGAGGCATATCCAGTGACCACCCGTCAGCAGGCTCGCACCACGGCTTCATCTTCCACACACTCTGAGGCTCAGGTAAGAGACAATGTACCCCGTGTAACCCGTGTTTCCTGGGATACCCCGACTGACTTTGAGGCAGAGGTTAAAAACGATCCCACGTTGCAAATTTATAAGGATAAGGCGACAGCTGGTCAGACAGGTTTAGAGGGAGAACAGTATGTATGGGAGAAAAATCTGTTATATCGTGTTGCTGAGCGGGTGGTAGGGGGGTCTGTACATGTGACTAATAAGCAGCTTATAGTGCCCCAGAAATACCGGCAGGAACTGCTTAGAATTGCCCACGATATTCCGCTGTCTGGGCATTTAGGGATGACAAGAACGAGGTACAGATTGACACATGCATTTTTCTGGCCAGGTATATCTAGAGATGTGAGACAGTATTGTCAGACATGTGACATTTGTCAGAGAGTGGGAAAAAGGGGTGACCGCCACAAAGCGAAATTGTGCCCCCTTCCCATTATTGAAGAACCCTTTAGCAGAGTAGCAGTGGATATAGTAGGACCACTGTCCAAGCCTAGCCCTTCCGGCAAGCGGTATATTCTGACCATTGTAGATTATGCCACCCGGTACCCGGAGGCTATAGCCCTTTCCAATATACAAGCAGAAACGGTAGCCGAAGCTATGATGAAGATATTTTCCAGGATGGGATTTCCCCAAGAGATAATTTCGGATAGGGGGACCCAATTTACAGCCGAAGTGACCCACCAGCTATGGAAGTTATGTGGCATTAAGCCAATTGTAAATTCTGCCTATCACCCGCAGTCCAATGGGTTGTGTGAGCGCTTTAACAGTACCTTGAAGCAGATGCTCAGGACATTTGGGGAGTCCCATAAAGACTGGGAGAGGTTTTTACCCCATCTGCTTTTTGCGTACCGAGAAGTGCCACAGGAATCTACCGGCTTCTCTCCGTTTGAGTTATTGTTTGGGAGAAGGGTGAGGGGACCCCTAGACTTAATTAGAGAACATTGGGAGGGGGGGAGCAGTGCAGATGGAGTCCCCATTGTGCCATACGTGCTGGAGTTCCGGGACCGCTTGGAGGCTCTAACCCAAACCGTACGGGAGAACCTCCGGGCGGCTCAGCGGCGACAGCGCCGGTGGTACGATAGGGGAGCCAGAGACCGTAGCTTTCAGGTGGGACAGAAAGTTCTAATTTTGAAACCTGTCCGCACAGACAAGCTACAGGCCACCTGGCAGGGCCCATACCAAGTGGTAGAACAGAGATGTGACACCACTTATGTGATCGGCCCGTGCTCTGGGGTAGGGAAACGACGCATGCTCCATGTGAACATGCTCAAACCCTATCACCAGAGAATAGAGGAGGTAGCAGCCATCTGTGCCCCAGCCACTGAGGATTATGAGAATCTGCCCTTGCCAGACATGTTAGAAAAGGAAGATTCTGCAGAAAACGCTACAGGTGTGCAGCTGGGGGAGCGGCTAAGTCTCCAGGAGCGTGCCCAGGTACAGGAGTTGATTGCGGCAAAAGGTGCTACCTTCTCCAATTTACCAGGGTACACTCTGTTAGCTACCCACCGAGTAGAGACCCCAGGACAGCTCCCTATGAGACAGACTCCGTATCGTATCCCTGAAGCAGTAAGGGAGCACATGAGGAAAGAAATTGAGGAAATGTTGCCGTTAGGGGTTATCGAACATTCAGATAGCCCCTGGGCATCACCGGTAGTGCTAGTACCCAAGAAGGATGGCACCACGCGGTTTTGTGTAGACTACAGGAGGCTCAATGACAAAACAGTGTCTGACGCCTACCCGATGCCCCGTATAGACGAGCTGCTAGATAGGATGGCAAGAGGCCAGTATCTCACTACCATTGATCTGTGTAAGGGATACTGGCAGATTCCACTAGCCGAGGAGGCCATCCCCAAGTCGGCGTTTGTCACCCCGTTTGGCCTGTATCAATTTCAGGTCATGCCTTTCGGGATGAAAAACGCTCCGGCTACCTTTCAGAGGATGGTAGATCGGCTACTGGACGGGTTCCAAGAGTACGCCTGTGCGTACTTAGATGATATAGCCATTTATAGCCAGACCTGGGCAGATCATTTGAAACATATTAGTGTGGTCATTGACCGTATTGGAGAGGCAGGGCTGACACTAAAACCTAGCAAGTGTCACATAGGGATGGCAGAGGTGCAGTACCTGGGTCACAGGGTAGGATGCGGACAGCAGAGGCCCGAACCGGCCAAGATAGAGGCAGTAGCTAAGTGGCCTACCCCCAGGACAAAGACACAAGTATTGGCGTTCCTTGGTACCGCTGGTTACTACAGAAAATTTGTGCCCAATTACAGCGCCCTGGCCAAACCCCTGACGGACTTGACCAAGAAAAACTTGCCACGACAGGTCAACTGGGCCCCAGAGTGTGAACAGGCATTCCATGAACTAAAAACTGCATTAACTAAGGCTCCTGTGTTAACTGCCCCTGATCCAACTAAACGATTTCTTGTTCACACAGACGCTTCCATGTTTGGATTGGGGGCAGTACTGAGCCAAGTGGGAGCTGATGGCGGAGAACATCCCGTAGCTTACTTAAGCAGAAAATTACTACCAAGGGAAGTAGGCTACGCCGCCATCGAGAAGGAATGCCTGGCCGTGGTGTGGGCCCTCAAAAAGTTACAACCTTATTTGTATGGACAACCATTCTCCTTGCTCACAGATCACAACCCGTTGGTGTGGCTACACAGGGTGTCAGGAGACAATGCCCGGCTGTTGCGCTGGAGTTTGGCGCTGCAGCCGTTTGATTTCACGATCCATTATCGCCCTGGAAAACAGAATGGTAACGCCGATGGGTTGTCCAGACAGACAGAACTTGAGAAATGATCTGTGAGCACTCCCCCGGACATCCCCAAGCCGATCCGTTGGGATCAGACTGTGTATGCCGGCTTGGTTTTGGGGGAGCAT